TCCTCCATATTCTCCACCATGATCACCATGCCTGCCGCCGTGTTCTCCACCATGTTCCCCACCATGGTCGCCATGAGTTCTCACCCTCCGAAAACGCTTTCTTTTATAAGTTGCCTTGGTCATGGTGTTTCTTTCAAGAATTAGAAAAGTCACTAAGACACCAGGGGACACTAGACAATGCCTAGAAACACTGGATTTTCACAAATGAGGAAAGCATCTACCAGACGCTAGGGATGGTGAACACCTCACAGACACACCAATGAATAAAGACACGTCTCCAGATGACAATACTAGGCCTGAGGATGAGGAACCTGGGCTTGCAATGACACGTTACCCATGGTTAACCCCCTTTTTTAGTAACCAGCAGACCACACTGAGCAAAGGTAGCTAGCCTGGTGTTAACTCTCCTGTCCTCACCTTGTCTTTTTCCTCCCCACTACCTTTTGGCATGTGGTAAGAAATTAAAGTGTGTGATGAATTGTATTCTAGAAAAACATCACAACTGCCCATTTCAATACTTTCTGAGTAAGAAAGCTGCTCTAGAACTGTCAGTGTCCTCTAAGACCGAGGAGTGAGGAGCAGTGTATATCTAATGAATGAGTCCTTACCTTAAACAGGCATCGGCATATATACTCATACACCATATGCTTCAATGAGCTGATGAGACACTGGATTCTCTGTTCTGTATTTTCAGAGTCCTGTAGATAAGAATTTGAAAACCCATTAAGAAATTTAGAAATTTTTACAGATATTTTAGAGTTGAATCACTCTTAAAAATGATTCTCCAGACTCAAAGCTGGTTCTGAAATAACTATCTTTGCCCACAAACCCCAAGGAATTAATAAATAAGTACACTATACTTGTACACTAATGCAGTATTTATAGTATTTCCTGAAATGTATACAATTAAAACTTTTAATAAATGGAAAATAAAATCAATTTCCATTAGAAAATAATGAAATTCCAAATAGTACTAGTTCAATTACCACATACCACATACCACTCTGATACCAACAGCATTAAAAACACAACCTATTTCAGCATGAGGTAAGGCTATTTAAATCACCTGAATTTTATTCACCAATCTAGCCCAGAGGTGCTCTGTTCCTCACTTCATTATGATAATAGAACCAAGCATGCCGGGGGGGATAAGCATCAATATTAACTTTGAAAATGGTATAATAAAAATCCCACATCTCCAGTATTCAGACTGACTCAGGAATTGTCCTACATAATAGTCACAATGCCATTATTTTACTAATTGTTATTTCCAATGACTTATAAAACTGGGACCAGCAAGATGAGTGGGTATAGCAGCTGGTTGCTGAGCCTTCCACATAGTGGAAGGAGAGAACAACTCCTGAGTGTAATCTACAAATACATATGCACGCACGCACGCACGCACGCATGCACGTGCGCGCACACACACACACACACACACACACACACACACAAAATATACATACATGGCACGCACACACATGGATATACACACTCTAAATAAACATATGTAAATTAAATAAGGAAAGAAGACAGGGTGACTGGACAGAAATGCGAACAGAGGGCTGCAGAGGGCTTTGTTTTCTCCTAATCGAAGTAAGAGTTCTACATATCACTTGGAAGTCATTTAGAGAACACAAGTCTTGTAATTAAATTAAGCAGCTTATAATTTTGTGTTTGTAACTAAAGGAACACAAACTAGTGAAATAATTTTAATGGTTGAGGAAATATAGCTTGGGTTACAGTGAAATATGTGAAACTGGAACAAATGCTAAGAACTGTTTACTACGTGATCTCG